TAAAGTGTTTATCCAGCGTATTTCCATTCCACGGTACATTGTGTATTTGATTTATTTATACCGTCTATATGCGGCAGCAGCTTCTTATCTCCTTTTCTGGTTTTGCTTTCTTCCCCTATAGGCTGCACATTCCACGAAGATGATTTTTCCATCAAATGTCCAAAACATGAGGTAAGAAAAACAAGACTTTCTTTTATTAATGTAGACTGATATAAACTAACATCACTCTGTTCAWTTGTTTAAATGTGCAATATGCCCATAAAGTTTTCAGGTAACGTCTCAGAAACTGAAACCATAGTTCAGRTGTTTTAAAGTAGTTTTGTGAGGACATGTTGTAAACAGCATCATACCTGTTGTGGATGGCTCTTTGTTTGACCTCGGTTTGATCATGTTATAGTTTCAATCCCTCATCAAAAACATACAGAGTATTGCTTTGACTCATACATGCATGTTTGAGAAATCCTTGAATCTGGGGAGTGTCTGAAACGGTAGAAGGTTCTAAAAGAGACCAAAGAGGCCAATTTCAATGTGTTTAGATAGGCTATGATGCAAAGTCAAATTCTTTTTTTAAATATATACAGCATTTTCATCAACTGAAAGTTACATAGTTACACAGAGTTACTCTGTTTTTAACTGAGACCACTCAAAGAGCTATCTACAGCATGTAAGATATTAATTGTTACTTCACAGAACCCCTCTGTAACACTGTCTGCTTCCTTCACATCCCCCTTTTTCCTTTACCATACTCCCTTCCAGTCATAATTCATGAYCTTAGCCTCAGCACGGATTTTAAAAAGTTAAAGCGTTAGCAAGCTAAACCCCCTCTCGACAACTTCKTTTTCTCTCTCTTTCTTTCTTCGTTTTTTTTTCCACTTTGAACCTCTGCTGTTAGAAGTGCTTGCTGCTTCTCCAGGTGAAAACAGAACAGCTCAGCGCTCGTTTCCTGAGGGACAGACGCCATCTGGTGGTGATGCATTGACACTGCGGCGCAGAGAGGAAGGTCAAATGCGGGGGGTGGGGGTGGGGGGGGAGACATGCTGACATTCAGCCGAGGGAGCAGCAG